TGATGGAGAATGGGGTTCTCACCTGCTCGGTCTGCGGGCGGTACCCACGCACAGTCGCGCTCTGCCGGTTGGTGAGCAGGGCGGTGCGGACCTTGGCCAGCACGGTGTCGAGATGCTTGCGCTCCATCACCAGGTGCTTGGCCTGCTGGCTGACCTCACTGAGAGCCTGGCGCAGCCGGCTCACCATCAGCCTCACGGTGCTGCAGTAGCGGTGGGCCAGGCGGTTGCTGGTGCTGGTGCAGAAGTCCCGGAAGCAGGGCAGGGGCAGCTGGCTAACCCACGGGGGCGGTTTGGTCTTGCTCTTCCACAGTGTCACACCTGGCCCCTCGGGCGGCTTCTCCAAGGTCTCACCAGTATCTGTCACATCCAGCTTGAAGTGCCAGCTCTGGAGCCGTGCCCAGCGCTCATGGGGCAGCTCCTTGGGCTGGCCTGGTGGGCGCCACAGGGACAAGGCCTCCTGAGCGCAGCCCTTGTGCAGATCCTGCGCTGCCTGTACCGTGGCCTTGGCTGCCTTGCGCCAGGCCTCTGGGCCAGCACGGCCCCGCAACAGCTCTGCCGGGGGCCCCATGGCAGCACTGCAGAGAGAGAGGGAGGGAGAGCTAGGTCAGCACTTACTGCTGCAGGGGGCACTGGGGCTCTTGCTTGCTCCTTGCCCCTGCCAGGAACAAGCTGGCATCGTATCAGGGAGCAGAGGTCTGATACAGAGCTGGGGGGGAGACCAGCCAGGCTGACGGGGGGGAACAGTGTGGAAGGACATGCTGGGCTGGCTGGGCCTGTGGGTCTGATCCAGACGAGCAGGGACAGGGTACGCCAGCTTGCCTGGGTCCATGGGGCTCACCTGCGGTGGCAGCAGTGGGGATGCGGGGCTGGCACTAGCTCACCCTGCTCCCTCTCTGAGACGCTCCCTGCTCCTGCGTGCAGGGCTTGGGGCACGTGCCCAGGCTGTCGGTGCCCAGTGACAGGCGCTGCCCTGAGCCGCTGGCTCCACTGAGGTCAGCAGAGCCCAGGGATCCTGCCCCCCGCCCTGGAGCCTGCGCTGCTCCTGGCTCCAGACCGGCTCATGTCTGCGTCTGTCTCTCCATGGAGACGGTTGCTACAGCAGCAGGTGCTGCCTCACAGAGCCCCATTCAGAAGGAGTCCCAGGCAAGGCCAAGGCCAAGGCCACGTGCGTTGGGGGGAGATCGGGTGGCTCCAGGGGAGAGCGCAAAAGGAGACCACCCAGCCAGGCAGGCCAGGACGGAGGAGAGCAGGGCCTGGTGGGTGCCCAGGGGGCTGCTCCTGCCCCAGCTGAGAGGGGCGGATGGACTGGATCCTGGCGGGCAGCTCAGGGGAGGAGGGGTCCTCTCTGTGGGGGAAGGGCTGGGAGTCCCAAGGCTCAGGGCTGGGCTGAGCAACCCAGTGGCCCAATCCTGCCCTAGCTGAGGAGCTTGGATGGGAAAGGGCCAAAAAGGGCTACCTGCTGTTGGCTTCTGCAGCTCTTGGATACCCCGCTACCCACCCAGCAACCATCCCTCCGACTGTGGAGTAACAAAGTGGGGAGACTGGGGCACCAAGTTAGCCCCGCTAACCCTGGGGCGGGATGGGTACAAACAGGCAGCTGCAGGATCGAACAAGCCATCACCATGTTGCTGTCGGTTAGGGTGACCACCTTGTAAAAATGTAAAGCTGCAACGCATGCCCTTCTTCCCGCACCCTGGTCCCCCACCCCCCCTGCCGCACAGCCAGAGCAGAGCCGCTGTGGGCTCGGGGCTCCCTGCCCTGCTGCCCTCCCCCGAGGAGCCCCGTACCGGCCGTGCACTCCCTGCCCATCCAGCAGCAGCAGGGGGCACAACTGTACACTGCTGCTGTCCATACTGCTGCTGGGTGGGCAGGGGGCATATCTCTATAATGGTGTGGGACTCCTGGGGGGAGGGCAGCAGGGCAGAGAGCCCTGAGCCTGCAGTGGGCAGCCCACATCCATCCCCACCCTGCACACAGATCTGGGGAGGGGGGGAACATGCCCCCCCACCCATCCTGGGGGGTTCACTCAGCAGTGGGGAGATGCCCTCCATGCCTCCTGCCCCCTGGTTGAGCCACCCATGGCTGTGTCCCACTCCATGCACCACCCTAGCTGGGCAGCACCTGCAGCCCCTGCCCCACTTCCTCCCTCACTGTGGGGGCCTCAATCTGTCCACCCCCCTGACCCCTAGACTTACCTACAGGGAGCTGCTCTTCATGCTGCCTGGCTGTATTTCCTGGCCACATGCATATGTGTGGGCATGCACATGCATGTGGCATCCCCTGCATCCTGCTCCTGGAAGCCCCAAGCAGCCCCTTGATGCTGGCATGCTGTCTGCCCGCAAGGGGAAACCCACTGTTTCCAGCAGATTGCTGCACAATGCTGTGAATCCAGGACAAATGTCCCAGAGTTGTGCAGTCCAGGACTGGGACTTGAGGTTCCCATTCCAGGACTTTCCCACCCAGTTAGGGATGGGTGGTCACCCTCCATCAGCGGAGCCAGTGCCACTGCCCTTCCCCTTGGTCACTGCCACTAAGGGAGCTCAAGTGTCATGTAACATTTCTGCTCCAGAGACAGCACTGCCCCTTCCCCATTGCCCCATGTGCCTGCTGCTCTCCCCACATCTCGGTTTCACTATATTGCTCTGCAGTCAGAGCCCAGACGAACCTTTGTCTCAGCTTGGAGCCCAGAGCCCAGCACAGGCTGCTGCTGCACTTCAAACCCAGCTGAGCCCAGTGCTCCCCTGGACCTCCCCACCCACGTACCCCTCAACAGGAAACAAGTATTGTGGGGTGGGAACATGTAGGCCCTTGAGACAGCTGGGGGGGTCCAGAGACCAAACTGACTCATTACACATGTACATCCAGGGGCTCCCAGGAGCTCCCTTTAACTGGAGCAAAGAAACTGCTTGCTGGCATGATGTGTGTGTCAGGATCCTTGTCTGCCTCTGGTCTCACTGATAAGGCATTATGGTCACCCTCCTTAACCTGCCTTGTATCCTTTACTGTAGCTTCCCTGGGGTCCCCCGCTGAGAAGAAATGTTTACTAGACCATGCGGAACAACGGGATGCTTTGGGTTGCAGTCTTCCTCCCACAAAGCTCCTGCCTCTTACTGTAGGTTTGTGGAGGCTTTCATTGCATCTTGGGATTCTCACGTTCCAAGGAACCCTCTGATATCTCCTTGACATCAAGTTCAAGGTGATGGGCTGGGGGAACATACCTTGACGTCATATATCTTGATTTTAAAAAAACCTTCGATCTGGTGTCCCATGACCTCCTCATGGAAAAATTGGCCAACTGTGGCCTCGGCTACATCACAGTCCGATGGCTGGGGAATTGGCTCTGAGGTTGGACCCAGAGAGTGGTAATAGATGGAAGTAAATCATCGTGGTGTGCTGTGACCAGTGGGGTCCCCCAAGGCTTTGTCCTTGGGCCTATACTCTTTAACATCTTTATTAATGATGTAGACATTGGTATCAGAAGTAGACTAGCCAAGTTCACCGATGATGCCAAACTTTGGGGTAGAGAGTCCACACCTGAGGATAGGATGGTGATGCAGGACAACCTTGACAGGCTCAGAAAATGAGTGGATGAAAACCTGATGGCATTCAACACCAAAAAATGCAAGGTACTCCACCTTGGGGAAAAAAACCCTGCAGCATGCTTATAGGCTCAGCAGTGCTACGCTTGCTAGCACCATGGCTGAAAGGGGTTGGGGGTCACGATTGACCACAAGAATATGAGCCACCAATGCAATGCTGCACCTGGCAAAGCGAGCAAAACTCTGGCTTGCATACATAGATGCTTCTCAAACAAATCCCAGGATGTTATCTTCCCACCGTACTCAGCCTTGGTGAGGCCGCAGCTGGAGTACCGCATCCAATTCTGGGCTCCACAGTTTAAAATGGATGTGGAGAAGCTTGAGAGAGTGCAGAGGAGAGCCACGCGCATGATCAGAGGGCAGGAGAACAGGCCTTACGTTCTGATCAGAAGAGCAATCCCCCATTTCCCTAAAACGTGTAGCCAAGATACTCTTCCCACTGCTTTGCAGAGGTGACAGGAATGGGAACTCTTTGTGCTCATTTTGACTATGTTTTTTGTTTGATGGTTTAAATATAAAAGGTCAGACAAGTCAGGTGTCTGTGCACTGGCTCTGCCATCTAGGATTGTAAGGTTTATTATAAGGGTACTGGTACTGTAGTGTAAGATAAAACTGGGTAAAGGTTACTGTGGGGTAAGCACACTCACCCTGGCTGCTGTGGAGGTCAAAAATGGAGGGACCTCAGATGCCACAAAAGAAGCTGGGGAAGTTCTTTGCTGGATGGTTTGAAGTATATTTTAGACTGTCAGGTGAACTACAGCAGTCCCAAGACAAGCTGGCAGATTATTGATGCAGATAAAAATTTTGCAAAAAAAAAGTGGGTTTTTGTGCCTCAGTTGGTTTTACTGACCTGGCAGCAAAGATCCCCTTGTTATTGGCCTTGAATGACTCAGTGTAGTTGAGGGTGGAGGTGTGTCCATTGCACTGTAGGTAGGCCCCCCTGAGAGAGTCTCAGTGGCTACACAATTTATGGTAATGGGGGATTGTTCTTGGGTTTTCTCTCCAGCTTACTCCTTCAACCTTTTGGCTGAAGGCAAGCAAGACCAGGGATCATCTGAACCCCAAGGCCTCTTGGCTTCAGGTTTGTGTGTAGGATGCCTGCCATGGATTTGGCAATATCTGAAGCCCCAGGCTGAAGGATACTTGCCAGTGGCAGCGCCCACACAGACTTGAATGATTGAGCTCTGCCCAGTTAATATAACCCGGAACCGATTTGGCTGATTTGGCCTGTGATAAAATTTCCAAGATTTACAGGGAAGAGCACTGGTGATTTTTGTGATGCAGTGGTGCTTAGCCATTTGGTCGTGTGGGCCAGATAGCTGGCTTGGGGCTGGTCTGTTGTGTGGTCCGTGGTCTGGATTGAGCCCTGTGTGCCAGGTTTGGGCCCTGCCCATGCCTTGGTCAGGTCTCATGCTACCTCAGCCAGCCCCTGTGGTCAGAGGAGTCCTGCACTACCTTGGCTGGCTCCCTACGTGCCTAGGTTGTCCCTGTGTGGCACTGCCTCAGCTGGCCTCTTTTCTGGAAGTGATGAGATCCTTGAGTTTAATTGCAGTATAAGAAAGTGTAGTAGCAAAGCAGCCCCCCTAGCATCCTTGACAAATGGTAATAATAGTGAGGAACAACAGCTGGCAGAGCAGTGCCCCCAGTGGCAGTGAGAAGTGATGAGGGCAGTGGTAGGTCAGTGCCACTCAGCAGTGCAGACACAAAGGGTGCTGACAGAATTGATATTTGCTGCACAATTGGCCGCTTGAAAGTGCTCTACAGCCATGCCCTGACAGAAGTGCATGGCTACAGCGAGATTTAAAACTGCCTGGTCACACAACAGAATAACCCTCATTTAATGAGGATACAGCTGAAAGTGCTCCAAAGCAGAGCACCTTCATTAACTTCTGTCAGTCCCTGTGCCTATCAGGGATGGGTTGATGCAATCCAGCCCCGCTGCCAGTGCTGTCTGAAGGATGGGAGGGAAATAAAGGAGGGAAGGGAGCTCTGGTCTGGAGTTTGCCCAGCCTGTGCTGGAGGGAGGGGGGTAGATTGGAGCCTCCCACCTCAGGGGGCCTACAATCTATCTGCCCACCCCCCTTCAGCACAGATTGTGCAAACCCCAGATCAGAGCTCCCTCCCCTCCCACCTTGTAGACAGCACCAGAGATAGGAGGTAGGGGAGAGGCTAGGGGAGAGAGGCTGCAGATGCTGGATCAGCTCCAAAGTGGAGCTCAATTCCCTTCCTGCCCCCCAAGCCAACAGCAAATGTCTGTTGGCTTGGGGAGGAAGAGGGGTTGCTGTAATTCATGGTGCTTTCTGTGAAGCACCATGAGTTACAGCAGGGAGCTGCATGCCTGTGAGCACCCAGATGGAAAGCTTGGGCTAGCATCTACTCTGGCTCCCAAGTTCATTCTGTATGAGACTAAGACAGACCTCTGGGTCACTTGACTGTGATCAGCTGTTAACAGTTGGTGGAGGTGAGCCACTGCCTAGGAAGAGTTTCCCAAGATGGTGTGTTTGTCCTGTTTGCCTGTCCCTTCAATAAACCCTGTTGTAGTTGAGTACTGCTTGTGAGTGTTGAAGCCTGCTCATGCTGAAACAACCAGGTAGCTTTTATTTTCCCAGATTTCTGCATGGGGGCTCAAGCCAAGAAAAAAAAATTGTGTAAAACCCCTAAAACAGAACTCAGCCCTTGCTACTGCCATCGTGGACCTGGCTGAAGGGTTACGAATAAGTTATTTTCTCTGTGAATGAAAGGCAGCACATCAATATAATCTATAATTCCACTTTGAGAAAGTCCTAGTGAAACTAGAGAGGATCCTGAGGTGAGCTTTAGAAGTGAGTTAGGGTGACTACAGGCTGCACGAGGAAAGATTGAAGGACCTGGGCATACTTAGCTGGGAAAAAAGGAACCAAGAATGGTATTTGATTTTTTGTAAGACTGCTATAAAGCAGAGGCAGAAAATTGTTTCTGTCATGGCAGAGGGTAGGACATGATGCTGTGAATTTAGACTGCTGCAAAGCAGATTAGGTTGACTCTCAGGAACAGACCCCTAACTACCAGAGCAGTAGGACAATGGAAGAAGCTGCCCAGGGCAGCAATGCACTTTTCTACACAGGAGATTTTCAAGAAGAGGCTGGGGATGGTTTGGGAACAGGAAATCCTGTTAGACAATCTGGACACTTCCAGCCTGTGATGCTATGATGCTGAGCTGCAAACCAGCTAGATGAGCAGGTCACAATTTCTTCACAGCTGGAATAAAGGAGCTAGAGTGAAGAGGCCAGATTGAGCTCAGCACTGAGCCTGGGTGCTCAGAATAAGTCCCACCCTTGTTTAATGGGTTATCATGGTGCACCCCTGTCAGTGTGCCCAGGGAGTGAAAGAGGCATTAGACGACACTGGAACAAAGTTTGTTGAAGCTGCTTTGGATCAGGCCTCACACTAAACATCCCTTTTGCTTATGGTAACTGAGCTCCTACTGCATTTTCCCTTGTGATCGTGGTAACCATGCTCCTACTGGATTTTTATGTTGCTTCCTTAGGGGTCCTGAAATTCCCAGCCAAATTCATCTTGCCTCTCCTCCCTTGGGACAGGGCTGGAAGTGGCTCTGGGGTGTAGAGGGGGCTGTTGTGTTCTCCCAGGGACACCAGGGGCCAATCCAGGTGGAGCAGAGAGGGTAAAGCAGCTCCACCGATTTCCAGTGGGGTGAGTGAGGGGAATTCAGGAGGCCTGCTGTGCTCTAAAGACCCATACATTTCAGATAAGCAGAGATACTGAGAGCAGTCCCAATCCTCCTGCATCCCAACTGGATGATGCTGGGACAGCGAGTCACTGTTAGGAGTTAGGTGTGAGTGTGGGGGTCTGTCATCATCAGGAGCTGAGTGCAGGGTGTAGATGTCATCCTCTGGCTCATGTATGTTCCCTAGCATCCTCCAACGTCTTCTGGAAGGTGGTGAGCATGGTCTGCCGCACACACTCTGTCAGCCTTGGGACATCATCTGGGCCCAGCTCCTGGGTCCGCACATGTGGCAGGATCTGGATGGTGCATTCACCTGTGGGGACATTGTGCCGGGGTGGGGGTAGTGAGACACAAGGGGAAGAGAAGCGAAGGGAAGGGGGCTCTCAAGCCCCTGGGTGGGGACGTTCATGCCAGGGTCACTCCCCAGTGCCCACACTCACCTGTTGTGAACCTCTTCTTCTCTCTGTTGAAGAAGGTGCTGTAGGATGATAACACCACGGGGACCACAGGCACCTGGGAAAGATGGGAGGCACAATGAAACAGGATGCAGGGGAGGGAACCAGCAACCCATGGAGGGGAAAGAGGGCTCACTTACCTGGGCCTGCACAGCCAGGTGGAAGGCCCCATGTTTGAAGGGGAGCATGGTGGTACCATAGCTCCTGGTGCCTTCAGGGAACACCCAAACTCGCAACTGGAACAGGAGAGCACCTGGATGAAACCGTTCTGTCCACAGGCCTGCACCTGCCTGCTGCTGTGACAATCCCACGGCCAGGCAGCCCCAGGGCATAGGACGATGCAGGTGCAGGGGCCCAGGTTGGCTGGACCACCTATGTCATGCTCCATATGTCTCCAGGTAGATTCAATGGGGACAGTGGGGTGTCCCCAGACAGCCATGCCAGGTGTTGTGGGAGGTGGCGGTTACTGATACATTTAGCACCCTGTAGTAAAGCTGAGCAGGGATTTGTCATCAAAACCTTTCTCCCCCTGGGAACAGCCCTTCCAAGTGACCCCAACATGGGAGAGGCCATAGCCTTGAGTGAAATCCTGGCCCAGCATGGAGCAGGGGTTGACATGGCAGTCAATCAAGGCACATGGACACCTTGAGCCAAGGTCTGGCCCCGAGGCCTTTGTTTTGGCAGTCACAGAGCTTATCCTGACCATGGCTCTCTGCCCCCAAGCTAGTCAGGCAAAGATGGTGGTAAGGTACCAATGGGCAAATGGCCAGAGTGAGAGCCCACAGCTAGTGTCTGTTTGTTGGAGGAGGGGGCTTGTGGGGCCTCAAATAAGCATGCCTGTCCTGTACCATGGCTGTGCACCTGCCCACCCTGGGACAAGAACCTGCAGCTTTGAACACCTGGTCTTCTGCCTGGAAAGGGAAATTCCCCACCTGGAAGAAATAGTGAGTGGTTATCCCCCAGTGGGCCACTACAAGATGAGGTGGGGAGTGGGCATATGACCTTACACTCAGGCACACCCAGCTCGGTCCCTGGCCCTACTTACGTCCTCCTGGTGCATGGTCTGCGCCACCTTTGACATGACACTGATGGCACGGTCTGTCTTACGGCGGTCAATGAAGATGAACTTGGAGAGCCAACAGCACAGGCCAAATGTCCCCATGTAGAGAATCTCTTTCTTGGCAACAGTCACGCAGCGCTCTGGCAGTGCCTCAAACATCACTGGTATTGGAGCGGAGAAGGAGTCAGCATTGGTAGTCTGGGGCTCCCCCTGCTTGGCCCTATTGTATTCCTGGCAGGAAGAGGGTAGGGAATGCAGGAGCCAGGAGCTCCCATAAAGCATGTCACATCACTCACAGCTGACCTACCAATAAAGTCCACGTTGCTCTGGTGATTTGCAACAATCACATAGGGCCCCTCAATGTCCAGGTTCTCCTTCCCCTGCACCTTGACCTTGATGCCAAGCAAGTATCTGATGGGACACATCACGGTACGTATAATTCTGCAGTGAAAGATAGAAGCGAGAAAGAGAGAGAGCTGGCTGAGACGGGGCAGGGCTAAGAGACACGGACAACATCTATCCTGACTCCTGGCATACAGAAGCTCAGAAGCAAGCTGACAATGCTACTGCCTTGCCTCACTGCAACTGGGCAGAGTCCCCTCACTCCTTCACGGCCTTTTGAAACACCAACCAGAAAGAAATCATTGCTTCCTTCTGCTATATTCCAGGCCTTGGGAGGTCCCAACTTCTCTGCTATAATACTGACCCCAGGACACTCCAGTGTTGGGACAAGACCACATCCCTTTCTTTTATATTAAAACTACCAGGAATCCCCAGGACCACAACACCATGACATCCCCTCTCGCATAGCATTGCCATGGGCCACCCCCAGGACTATGATCTGACTGCATTCTCGCTGCAGCATTATGTCCCCTGGGCCAGGGTGACTTCTCTTGGTTTCTCAGCTGCAAAGCAGATGGACGACATCCAGTCTACCCACCTCATATTTTCCACAGTACGTCCATGAGCGACAAAGAATGGCAGGGAGACGATGGAAATGGCGATGAGGTATCCATCAAGCACAGTCACCTTGGTGTAGTACCTGAACGTGGCACTGTAGTAGTACATTAGCAGCCCAGTCAGGATCAGAATAAGCAGGTTCCCCAGAACAAGGGACAGCTCCATGAGATCCAGAGGCAGGAGGAGAGGGAGTCCTCCCAAATCTGCAAGGGATTGATACAGTACAGGGCAAAGGATCTGGGCTGGGAGCTGCCTGTGCATGCCCCAGTGCCCCATGAGCCCATCCAGCAATCATTCTTTAGCTAATCTGGCAAGTAATACTGGCTTTCTGCCCAGCTCAGCTCAAGTAGGGAAGAAGGGCTGGGCAGTTTAGCTCAGCCAGCATAGCCTGCAGCATCTTGCAGTTACAGGACTAACAAATCAACCACAGTTTTTTGCCTCTTTCCCTGTCCCCTGCCTATGTTTCTCTGTGGAAGTACTGTTGTTCTCGTATTCTCAAGGAACAATCTTTTTTCTGCATTCCACCTTTCAAAAACAAGGTCCATGTCTTATTCCGATGTGTGTGGTATGCAAGAAATTACAGTACCTGTGAAGCATGCATGAAGGAGGACATAGGACACTTCTATTAGCTTTAGTCTCCTAGTTAACTTATAACAGCTTGTAAATACATAAGCAATGGGCCTAGCCCATGTAGCTCTCTACCTGTTTGCCATCTTACCTCCAGCCTTCTTCTGTCCCTGCATGCAGTGTGCTCAGGAACTTTGGTTCTCACTTCACAGTTTCTACCATCACTACACCTCCCTTTTCCCCAGGGTTTGAATGTCTCAGAATCAAAACAATTAGTTTCTCTATGTAGTAGGTGTTGGCACTGGATTTATGTCTGAGACACCTTGTTCCAGGTGGACCCAAACCCACAGTTTCACCATGACCTTAATAGGCAAATGTTGTGGATATACATGATAGCAGATAAGAATAATGCAAACAATTCTATGTCTAACAGTCCTAGAGCTGTCATCAGAGTCAAGGTACATCTGGCCACTATGCAAGCTTCACCCTGAGGTTCTTTCTTGAATGTCAGGTGTCAGCAGCCTGGAGGTCAGAGGCCTAGACCCACTCTCCCCCAGTGGGGCGGGTGAGACGGGTTGATGATATGCCCACTGTCCATGGTGGCCTCGGGTTCCCCTCTCAGGGACACTTTGCTGCTCTGAAATCCCTCCTTTTGTATTCTTTTTTTCCTGTATGATGATGACTTCATCTCTGGGCATCATTGATTGGTCTCTCTGTGGATGTCCTACTGTCCACATTCTGCCCTGTCAACATATTTCTTTTTTTTTCCACAGACCCATCACATGCATTCATCTTAATCTGGTTCTTTCTGGGACTCCTAATTTGATCTATCTACCAAAACTAGAAATCCCAAGGGCTCTGCAGATGGCCACTATGACCAAGCCAATGTGACAGAGTCTCTTATCTCTGTTATGGAACAGTGTGGTACATGTCTTCAATTTCCCAGCTTGTGTGTGTGCTTGCTGCTTGCCTGTGTCAGAAACAGTGGGCTTTGAAGGAAACTTTTGTCACAAACAGGTTTTTAGAAATCAATTAACCCTTTCCATTGCCCTGGACCATTGTCCGAATGCACAACTACTTTACCTATAAGCTAATTCCCAAAAGCAAATCTCTAAATACCATTTCCTGGCCATCAGTAGGTTTCCTTATTACTCTTACCTCTAGAGGTGGTAACAGGAGTGTCAGTGTCCATTTTTTCATTTGGATTTGAATTGTCTATTTGAAATTCTGTATGTTCAGTAGACTCATCTGTTATTTCTTGCTTTCCTGATTGAGATGCTGATACAGGTTCAATTTATTTCTCCTCTTCATTCCTCTCTTGAGCAGCCCTGTTTGTTTTCATCAGATCCCTTCTGTTTCTTCTGTATGTGGAATAATTGCAGTCCTGGTCCTCCACACCCACTAGACAGGCTGTACTATGGGGACTGTAATAAAGGTGGGACAGTCCCTGGGGGGAGCTGGATTACAACCCATGCTATGGCTGCATATGCCCATCTCTCTCACACTGTATGGTGTTAGAAGGGGACCTGATCCCTCTCTCTAGGAACAAACAAACAAAGAAACAAAAAAAAGGAGAGAAAGAGGAGCCCCCAGAACTGCCAGAGTAAAGATATAGTCAAGGAGAGACTGTGTGCATTGCAGCAGGGAGGAGACAGGCTGAAAGCCCACAGCAGCTATGGAGGCTATAACACAGATGGCTGTGCTACGGAGGTTTGACTGTAGGAATGCCGGCAGCTGGCCTTGCCGGATCCAAAGGGTTGAGCAAATCTGGTTTCAGGCTTAGCAGAAAGAACATAGGAATACCAAGGAAATGCTCTCACCTTTGCCATTGGACAGGCTGCAGATGATGTTCTGTGTGCCTTCCCCTTCACTAGGTACGTCTACTGAATTTAGTTGAGTACCTCTAAACTATTTTCAGGAGTGGGAAGCAGCATCAGATGACAATGGGCCTATGCTAGTAGAAACTATAGTCTCAATAAAAGAATCAACAACTTGGTCAAATTATTAAGTTCAAAACAGGTTCTTTGGGTAAATCTGATATCTTTTATTAGACCAACTCAAATAGTTGGAAAAATTCTTTTTTGCAAGCTTTTGGGTACAAACACCCTTCTTCAGGCAGAGGAAGCATCCTTCAGGCAGACGAGATGCTTCCTCTGCCTGAAGAAGGATGGTTGTACCCAAAAGCTTGCAAAAAAAAGATTTTTTCCAACTATTTGAGTTGGTCTAATAAAAGATATCAGATTTACCCAAAGAACCTTGTCTGCCCGTGTCCTTAGACCAAAACAGCTACAACGAACACCCCTAAGTTCAAAATAGACACTTGAGCTGCAGTTGCTGCCATCCCTGCAAAAGATTATGATCCTTCCTGATACCAAGATAAAAGCCTCAGAGGGCCAGGTAATACTTTCTTAGAAATGCGTGGCCAATTCAAGGAGAAAACTGGAATAAAGAGGAAAACTTGTCACATCTTCTTCAGCCACAAACAGATGAAGAAATAACTTTAGAAAAAGATATTGGGAAAAGATGTCAGCCATGGGTTGGCAGAACTCCCAGCATCTCCTACTAGACTTAAGCAAATTACAAATGATCAATGACAGGTTGAAACTTGCCAGAAACTAGTTTATTTTTGTCAAAACGAAGGGGGGCCATTGGACTCAACTTCCAAAAGTCATTCTAATATTATAAAAGCCTAATGTCTGTCTGGCCATAACGCTTTATTTCGCGCTTTGATTGGCTGACAGAAACAGCCAATCATTGTGCTCCAAGCGTGGGGGAGCGCCACCATGATTCCAAAGCTGCGCAGAGGACTGGACAGGGGGTGGGGGAGCCGGGGCCAGCACCACCAAGGGCAGCCAATATGGCCAGGGGCATAGAGGAGTTGCCAGACCTGGGAAGACAAAAAAAGCTGGGATTCTTCAGTTTGGAAAGGGGAAAGCTGGGTGGAGATATGGTAGAGGTCTATAAAATCTTCAAGCGTGTGAACCAAGTGAAAAGGGAACTGGTATTCACCAAATCCGAGAATACTAGAACTAGGGGCACCTGCTGAAATTAGTAGGTGACAGATTTAAAATTCACAAAACAAAGTACTTTTTTATGCAACACGTAGTAAACTTTTGGAAATCATTGTCACAAGAGGTGGCAGAGGCAGATAGCAGAGCCAGGTTCAAAATGGGATGGGATAAATCTGTGGATGATAGATCAATGGCTATTGAACACAATGTTTAGAGATGTTTCCTCCGACATCTCTAACCCAGTAAATGGTGGATGCCAGGGATAAATCACTCTAGAGATATCCAGTTCAATGTTCTCCTTGTATAGCATCCATTTCTGCCACTACTGGAGGCAGGTGGCTGGGCGAAAACATTGGTCTGACTCAGTAGGGCACTTTTTATGTTCTTGCCAACTTTAAAACTTGCTATTTTGTAGTCCGTAACGAGCAGATCCACTTTCCGCTTCTCCTGACTGGGCTGAATTCTCAGCACATCTGGAAATCAATCTTCTTCATCTGTTTCTTTAAGGGTGATTTTTTTTTAGTCTGCGGCTTTGTGGATTTGCACATTTTGGTGAAATGATGGTCTTTGCTACAGCTATGACATTGTTACTTATATGTAGGTCAGTCTCTTACTGCATTGATGTAGGCACATTTTAAATGTATTTATTTATTATTTTGATGTCTATCCCACCCTATCCAGAGCAGCTTACAACACACAAACAACCCTCAGTTAGGATCGCCCAAAGAACCCCCCAAGACCCAAAAACTGGCTTCTCAAAGCCTGACCACCACCTTCTTGCCCAACCTTACAGATGAGCAAACCCTCCCACCAATCCCAGCAACAGCTCTCAATCTCTGATTGCTCTTTTTTCATTTATTTTGGTTTCAGGCCTTTATTAGTAGCAGGACATCTTTCAGTCCATGGCTTTATTTCTGATTTTGTATTAAATACAGGTTTGTATAGCAACCTATGCACATGCATTTTCTGCTTCACCCAGTCCTTTCAGTTGTTTTGCCATCATTTCATCATTTCCTTTGCTTGACATATGTCTGCAGTCCTTTCCAGTCTCCCATAACAATCTGGCCCACAGTGAATCTGTAAGAATACTTCATGCAATACAACTCTTACTTGGGAAGTTGCACAGTGCCCAAAATTCACAAGTTTGTGCTGCCGGTTTTAACCCTGTTGTACATTACTTTGTATTTTCCCCATTTGCCTGGCTTGTGGTGAAAAACATAGGTGTCTCCTATGTCCCATTTTTCCCTCGGTGCACAGTGTGCCTCAAGCATACTCATGAAGACCTGCATTTTCTTTCTCTGCTGAATTCTGAAACTGAAGAGTATTAAACATCTCTATTGCTTCCTGACTTGCCACACTGAAAAACAAAGCAGTTTCCAGCCTTTCATTATTCTTGTCTGTACCACTTATGTGCAATGCAATACAGCTCAAATGCTCCCGTTTTGTCCAGTTCTCTGCTGCATTTCCTACAAACACTCACATTCCTGAAGGCTTGAGCCAACCCATTTTCTCAGTCTTCTCATACATTCAGTTTTATTTCTGACATCATATGATATTTATAACGCACACACTTAGAAGGACACTGGACGCTTACATTAACTTTAGTCTCTTTAATTAACTCATAACAGCTATATACATACATATGAGCAGCTGGCTTAGTCCATGTGGCTCGCTATTTCTCCACTCCCCTTCAGCCTTCTTCTGTCCCCCCCAGACAATGCACTCTGATAACTTTAGTGCCTAATCCATAATTCCCACTATCATTACAAAGCTACATTCACATGTTCATTCTTAATGCTATGAATTTCTGGGGATACTGCAGCACTGCACAACCATAGCGTAAACTGCGTGTCCAGATGCTGACGAGCCTGCTCATCTGGAGCAAAAAGAAGTGGAGCTTGAGCATGAGAACAAACGTGGAAGTACAGACAAATTGCCGATTCAGAGAGGAACTTCTTTGTTGTGCGTTTGCCATTTTTTTGGTGGAGCTGTCATTTCTGATAAGTTAAACCAGGCGTGACTATATAGCCAGTGACTTTTTGCCGTGCCGAAACGTCTATAGAGCTAAAAACGTAACGTGTTAACTTACCTTGGTAGGGTACACTCAGGAGAGACAGGAGAAGGGGCCGTGGTGCGCCTAAAACTGTGATGGTGGCAGAGGGCAAAACTGCTTCAGCTAGGAAGCCATTTCTTGATCAGCCGTCTCCTCACTCCCTGAAAAAGAAAAGCCTGGTGGCTTGTTAGTAGCAATCGCTAAATTCTCAGACTTTTAGCAATCTGTTTGCTCACTGCCCAGACAAGCCTCAGTCACAGGTCTGCCTGCTTAC